CAAACAGACAGACAGATAGACAGACAGATAGACAGACATACAGAGATAGACAGGCAGATAGACAGACAAACAGACAAACAGACAGACAGATAGACAGACAGACGATAGACAGACAGACAGACAGACAGACAGATAGACAGACAGATAGACAGACATACAGACAGATAGACAGGCAGATAGACAGACAAACAGACAAACAGACAGACAGATAGACAGACAGACAGATAGACAGACAGACAAACAGACAGACAGATAGAGCAGACAGATAGACAGACAGACAGACTCTCGCTTATAATAAGTAAGATTTTAGTGTAAATTTGCAAGGAATATGTGCAAATTGCGTAAACGATCGAAGAAATTATTTGTTTTGTTTTGTTTATTGTTATTTTTTTAGGTAAAAGGTGCAGACAAAGGAAGAAATCAAAAAAAAACGGGCAAAAAACAGCGCGACGGCTACTACCCAAAAGCTAAAGGGGTTCGATTCCGGCTCGCAACAACTGCAAAATGCTTGAAGTTGCTTCAAAAGAAAAAAAAAAAAGCACAAAAAGCCCCAGCCTAACCCTGATCCGTTGGGTGTTAGCCTAATGAGTTATCCATTAGGCCACCAGCGTACCTTTTCTCGGCCAGGAAGGAGCCTTGCCTTAAAGCCTTAAAGCATCTGTTTTGAATGAAATTTTACCCACCTGGAGAGTCATTTGGCAGATTTTGATTTCAGATTCGGATTCATCATATCCGATTCTATAAAGTGCACTAGTTCAGACAAAAGCTCACCTTGAGTTCGTGCCTTTCCCTAGTGAGCCAACTTTGGTGTGTGAGTGAGTGAGCCAACTTCCCTAGTGGGCCAACTTCCCTAGTGAGCCAACTTCCCTAGTGAGCCAACTTCCCTAGTGGGCCAACTCAAATTTTTGCCTTAAACTTGGCTGTATTTCTCTTCAAATACTAGTCGTTTTTCATTTTCGAAACCCCTTGTCAAAAATCCCTTTCATTCATTGAATCCCTCGAAGAGATCCCAGAAATTTCTTCTCATCGTTTTTTTGCCAAAATGATTTTCCAATTTGTATCCAACGCGAAATCCACGACCAATGTTTTACATTATTTGCCCATCTGCTCATCGTTTTCCACATCAAATAGAAAAGAAAGAAATCTCTACTGAATCAATTTTGATTGCTTAAATACACGCTTCTGATGAAATAGATCGGATTTTAGATTTTTGAAACTTTAGATGAGTTTTAGATGTTTAGCTCAAAAGAACTTTTGGGTGTTTAGCTATATCTGACTCAAAAGATTCTTTTTGATTACTGAATATCATTATTGAATGAATTATTCGCTATTTAGTTGGACAAGAGCTCAAAAAGAGCTCCAACTAGAGCTCAAAACTGTTATATTTTGCCCACTAAATACAAGAGTGTTTCCCCCTTTACCAATGCGTTTTCTAAAAGGCATCTACTTTAGAAAACTACCGTAATCCAACGGCCAATTTACATCCGATCAGCTCAATCAGTGAACGCTCACCTTTGAAACATTTTTATAGTACTTCTTGAAGGAACTATTGTACCTTACTACTGTATTCTTTACTACTGTATTATAGGAGCCATAGGTATTCCAAAAATCATGAAATTCAAAGACAATAAGCCAAGTCTAGGCCAAATTAGATCAAAAAAGCCAGATCCAGACTTTGCCATTGGCAATCAAACTTTAAGCTCAAATTTCTTGGCATCGGGTTATTCAATTTCAATAGTTTTTGTACCAATCGATAAAGAAAGACTTGGCACATCTGATGATACTAAAAATATTTAAATTGAACAGCCCAACACGAAAATATTTGAGTTCAAAGTTGGATTGCCAAGAGTGGCGAAGAGTCGGGCGCGTCTCAAACGTCCGCTAGCCTCTTTTACTACTGTACTCATATTTTAGATCAGTTTCTTGAATGAATATCTATTAAGTGACCAATTCTACAGTAAACCGACAATTGTACTCTAACGCTCTGCCTTGTTACCTGTAAGTTAAGCAAAAAAGTTCACTTTCGAAACTCTTCGACTTGTTTTTGACTGAATCTTGACTTATCAATCAGAAAAATTTCCTAATGCCTTCTTTGTAAGCCATTTTCGAATCTTTTATAGTCTGTACTTTGTCACGTTTGTTGCCTAATCACCCCAGCTTTGCCCTGTCATTTTTGGCTAAGACGCTTGTATCACGCGATTTTTCGTCGCCTTTTTTTCTTCTAATCGACCGATCGGCCATTTCTGTCCACGAAATCGGCAATTTTTACAGTTTTTTGCCCGTCAGCCAGCCTGCCTATGATCCCAGCTCTGTTCCTGCATCTCTGCCTATTTCATCTTCTAAATCTCTAATCCCTCGTCTTCAGCTCTGTCCTTGTACTATCCCATCGTAACTGTCCCTCTGTCTACTCCCTCCTCGACCTCTGTACCTCTGCCTTTTCCTGTGACATCCCTATCTATCTGTGTCCCTATAGCTTCCGCCTGTATCACTGCCCCCATCCCTTGGACATCTACCCTATCCACTCCTTTTCTGCCCTGTAGCCTTGTAACTCTCACCATCACTATCTCCTTTCCCTGCCTGTCTCTCTTCTCATCATGATTTCTCCCCAGACAAGTCACGCCCACTCTCCGGCTCGGCACTGATATAAGCGCCGCTTGGCGACCCCGAAAACGCCACATCCCCAGCACAGTGGGGAAAGGCTTGCCGTTTCTTTGGGAGATCTCAGGTGATGTATGTGGACAAATGTGGAACCATAGGATGTCTAGACAGTTGTAAAATTTTAGATCAAAGACCCTTCTCAATAAAATTTTATGGGTTGGATTGGCTTTTGGATTTGGATTGGATTTTAGGCTAAGACCAGGGTTTCGATTTGGTTTCTGGCTGGTTTGGGTAGTTTTTGAGCCACGACCAGATCTAGTTTGAATTAGATCTAGCCCAGGAAAGTCTATTTCGAATCCTCCTTTGCATCTTCATTACACTATTCAGTTTGTTTAGTAATCAGTAAACCATGTCATCTGGTATGATAAGATTGGGACAATGGTTACTTTTAATAACTTATAACTTATAATAACTTATGACTTACAAGTATAACTTATAATAACTTATAACTTACAAGTATCAGTTATAATAAGTTATAGCTTATAATTTTTATATGGGAGCTAGTTAACAGTTCAAAAGGGTTTAGTTAACAGTTCAGAAGAACTAACTGCATGGCTAGGAAATGCTATATTATTCCTATTTTAAGAAATACCTAGTTTATTGAATAATGTAGCAATCTTCAAACCACTCAATTTTAAAAATCAGCTTTTAGTTTGATCTGTGCATCGTACAAATAGAAGTTATAAGAAAAGTCACTTGTTTAACCCTGATAAAGTTAATATTCAGTATAAACTTAAGACTGGAAGTCTTAAATCTAAAGTCTAAAGTCAGACTATAAACTTAACTTTGGACCCATTAACTCTTAAGCACTGGGACACATGCCATCTAAATTTAAGGCTTCCTTTCTGGCTAACCCTGGTAGTAAAAAAAGAGACGTTTGGTAATGCTCTAGCTAAAAGCGGCTAACCCTAGTAGTTTTTGAGCCAGGATCTGGCAAGAATTGGCCAATTGATAACACTTTGACAAGTTAAAGACTTAAAAAGTCTACTATTTCTACCAAGCAGTTAGTAAAATTCAATTCCTGCACGGGTTGGCAACTTTTCAACCCTAAATTCTAAAACACACCTAAGCTACCGTACTCGAGACGGCGTCTCCCTTTCGTCTCGTAAAACGAAGTCCCATCCCTTCAAAATTAATTCTTTTAAAGAATCATTGCCAGGCCCGGCGCTACGCGTGGATTTTGCGTGTGTATATTCCCCTTTCTCTATCCCCTTATAAAATTTTGTTTATTATTACAATTTTCCTCCTCCGTTTATTGTTTCCACCCCTTCTTCCCTGTTTCTTTTAAAATTGTTAAAGTTTTAGAGTTTCGTTTTGACAAATCATTTTGAAATTAGTGTTTCTGGGTTAAAAGATTTAGATAGTAAGATTTCGACCCAGAATTTAAATGTTTAGAGCCGTAACACGTTACTAGCTAATTCTAGAGATTTGAGGTTTTTTAAAGAGCCCTGCTATATTTTTAAAAAGTACACCAAAATTGCATGAACTAGAGTCTAGCTTATGGCGTACTTTTTGCGTTCCTTTAAATCGTTTCTGGCGCATTCTTTCTAGCGCAATCGATTCCTTGTTTTTCTCACAGCAAAGCGTTGGTTTTTCGAGAATCAAGTGCAGCAGAAAGTTTACGTTTCCAATTTTTCAGCACAAAGTTCACAAGTGGATGTAGTCATGGCTGCACGCGATCATTTGTAAAAAAGGATCCACCTTTTCCAAGTTTCAAAACATACTTAAGAAATCTAGTTGTTCTTTAGAATCTTTAAATTCCCCATGTCACTTATCTGGAAGCCGATCTGAAAAAGTTTCCAAAAAGGGCCAAGGTCCGCTCGATTTTATCTCAAAAAGTGACTCTTTCGAAAAAGTTTGACCTCAAATTGGTAGTCAATTTTGAGATTTGCCTTTAGATTGGCTTTAAAATTAGCTATTCAGTCTAATTTCGAGGTGCTAATAAAAGCGCCACGTTTTTTTGCGCCCAAATTACGCTTATGAAAATTCAAAAATTGAGAAAAGAATTTTAATCGTATCACTTTAATCTTTGTACGTTTTTCAAAGTCTATTAGAATTTCCATGTTTTGCTTTTTCCCGAATCTTTTCAAAGATCCACTCTTTTAATAGACAAAAATTCTCCTATTCGTATAAATTTCTCTTTCTCTTTTAGATTCTAAAAAGCGAGAAAAGGCTAAATTCTTTACGCTTTACCATTTTTCTTTGACAGATGTCGAGTTTTTATGGTGCCTTTGGTGCAATTTCTTGTTTTCAAAATCTCTTTATCCTTTCAGATTCATGCTTTAGATTGTCAATACAATTTTCTCAAAATTTCAGTTCTAATCAACTTGGCTCACTCGAAAATGACGGTGAACAGCAAGCTCCCCTACAAAGTGGCCGACATGGGACAGGCGGAATTCGGAAGAAAAGAAATCATCATGGCCGAGAATGAGATGCCCGGATTGATGGCCATGAGGAAGAAATACGGACCGACGAAGCCACTCAAGGTGGGTACCGTAAATGGAATAAGTGAATGCCGTAAATACTCTAATAAAAAGATCCGCCTATAGGAGCGTCGTGTAGTCTAAGCTTACTCTCAAACAAACGCTCATATCTCGAGACCAGTATGTTAGTTTCTGCGCGCTTGTGTATCAAATTAAAGTAAAAAGGATGGGTGTTTTTTGAGATATAACGCATATTTTTAGCATTGACCAGCGCTTAGAACAAAATGATTGAAAAGCCGCAAAAAAAGCCGATTTTTCATCTTTTTTTTCTAAGCGCTGGTTAATGCTAAAAATCTGTGTTATATCTCAAAACGCACCCATTCTCTACTCTAATTTGATACACAAGCGCGCAGAAACTAACGTACTGGTGCTGAGATATGAGCGTTTGTTTGAGAGTAAACTTAGACTACACGACGCTCCTATAGGGGGCTCTTCTATTAGAATATTTCCGGTAGGTAGCTTACAAGGGGAGGTTCAGGATTGACCGTGGCTTTTTAGCTCGAAACAAGTGTATTAAGGGTAATTCGGACCCGCTGTTTCCGAATCTGAAGACCGTTTTTGCGCAGGTATTGTAGGAATTTAGTAAAGAGGTTTTGCTCCGTGCCTATATAAGGCGCTCTGTGGCCTACATAAAACACTGTTCTTTCCCCCACCAAGTGTCTTGTGGTGTAGTGGATAAAGCGCATGCCTGCTAATGTTGTTACTGCCACAAGACACTTGGTGGGGGAAAGAACAGAGCGTTTTATGTAGGCCCCAGAGTGCCTTAAATAGGCACAGAGCAAAACTTCTTTACCAAATTCCGTGCGATCTACCATACTTGCGCAAAAACAGACTTCAGATTCGGAAACAGCGGGTCCGAATTACCCTTAGTACACTTGTTTCCAGCTGAAAAGCCACGGTCAATCCTGAACTTCTCCTTGTTAGTGGTTGTATGGCTTGACAAAGATAACAGTAGAATGTTAAATAAAGGGTACAGTATCTGATTAACGAAGAAGAATGGCTGAACAACTTGTTGTTACTATAAGATATCGCTATCAGTTAAAACAAAGCTTACAATTTGCTGATTACAAACTGCGCATGGAAGTTTAATATTTCGAGATCACGTACTAAAGTGAAAATTTCAGGGTGCTAAGATCGCTGGTTGCCTTCACATGACTATCCAAACGGCCGTCCTCATCGAGACTTTGATCGAGCTCGGCGCCGAGGTGCAATGGTCATCGTGCAACATTTTCTCAACACAAGTAAGAGCTTTTGATCGATCATTAAAACATAAGTCGACCCATTTAGACTTAAAGATGAAGATAGAATAAAATAAATTTTGACGTAAAAGAAGTTAGGTTAGAGCCAAAGTTACGGTGAATTTCAAAATGTATGTAAATTTCAGGATCACGCCGCTGCAGCTATCGCTGCTGCTGGAATCCCCGTTTACGCGTGGAAGGGAGAGACTGATGAGGAGTATGAGTGGTGCATTGAGCAGGTAAGACCTAGAACCGTTATAGACTTTGAAGTCTAAAGTACAGCAATAGAATAATTGCAAGAATTGCTAGGTTGGACGAGTATTTGTGCAACCGTCTTATAAAGACTTAAACTAAATGACACAGTTATTTTGGGACCGATAAAGTAATGAAATTTCTAGACGCTCGTCTTCGCCGACGGACAACCATTGAACATGATCCTCGATGATGGTGGTGATCTCACGAATATCGTCCATCAGAAATACCCACAATACTTGCCTGCAATTCGCGGACTCTCCGAGGAGACCACCACCGGAGTCCACAATTTGGCCAAGATGTTGGAGAAGGGAGATTTGAAGGTAAGGGTTTAAGTGCATTAGTAGTGCCAGAGTTGTAATTTTTCCAATGATCCAAGTTCTGGGCTTGTCTGTCTAACCTGACTAGGCTTTGCAGTCAGTCTAGCACATGTAATAAAAGTTCCAGAGCCTAGCTTCTGGTCTTACCTGGCCTACTGGCCTCAAAGCTCTGGGTAATACTGTAAGTAATCGAAATAAGCATATAGGATGCCAAATGCAGAGTACACCTATAACTTCTAACTTCCAGGTCCCAGCCATCAACGTGAACGACTCGGTGACGAAATCGAAATTTGACAATCTCTACGGGATTCGCGAGTCATTGATCGATGGAATCAAGCGCGCCACCGATGTGATGTATGTTTATGTTCGATGTTTAACTAGATGTATACTTATTTCATATTTTATAAACATTACAAACAACAATCATAACTAACAAAAGCACAAACTAGTCAAGATCTTTGCCTTCTTCCGTTTTCCTTCGCGGTGGCGGCTCTATTCCTAACAAAAAAAAATTTCAAGGTTGGCCGGAAAAGTGTCCGTCGTTTGCGGATACGGAGATGTCGGAAAGGGGTCGGCCGCCTCGTTGAAAGCTTTCGGATCTCGGGTCATTGTCACCGAAATCGACCCAATCAATGCTTTGCAGGTGGGACTTTTGAGGATTTTTCGAAGATTTAGCTTTAGTCTAGTTACTAACATTGGTTGAATGACTCAAAAACTACAGTTGAGGTATTGTAGATAACCACTATAACCTGACCATCACGCGTTCTAGACCGACTAATAGAATGTAGTTAAAACAGCGCCGTGAAATTTCTCACAATCCAAAAAACCAAGCCACTTCAAGTTTTATGCCAAAAAAAATCCTTGCGTTCTTGGCTACATTATGGGTAAAACAGTTTTTAAAAAGTTCATATTTCATAGACAAAGTCAGCTTCAAAATGTGTGTCAAGTGATACACAGTTGATTGAATGAGTACCTTTAGAGACCCATTTTGAGCGCTCTTTTTATCTATGGAATATGAACTTTTTTAAAACTGTTTTACCCATCATGTAGCCAAGAACGCATGGATTTTTTGGTGTAAAACTTGAACCGGCTTGGTTTTTTCGGATTGTGAAAAATTTTGCTCCACTGTTGAGTGTTTTCTATTCGGCGATGTTTTAACTACATCACTGACTTTGCCAAGTACAAGGAATTCTCAAAAAGTACAAGGTTTGAAAGACAAAGTCTTTGATCTCAAAGCTAATGTAGAACTTTACAATTTGTTATTGCTCTCCAACTAAACTTTTCTCTTTTCCAGGCTGCCATGGAAGGTTACGAGGTGACCACATTGGAGGAGGCTGCCCCAAAGGCGAACATCATTGTGACAACCACCGGTTGCAAGGGAATCGTTCGCGGTGAACACTTCGAGCAACTCCCCGATGATGCTATTGTTTGCAATGTGGGACACTTCGATTGTGAGATCGATGTGAAATGGTTGAACGCGAATGCTGCCAAGAAGGACACCATCAAGCCACAGGTATTTCTAAAGTGTGGCCAAAACTACCATAGTCTTGTGCGGGGTATTTTCTAAAATGACAGATAGTTACTAAAACGTTTCCAGCTACCATAAACTTGTCTAGTTTTTGACCAATCTATTTACTCTTGATTTGATTCTGTGCGGGTGCAGGAAGAATGCCGAAAAATATAAATAAATAGATTGGATAAATTCTGAGGCAAGTTTAGGGTAGTTAGCACAATATCGACGATGCAAGTACTTTAGCACTGAACTGAGCGTTTCTGATCTTAAACATCTTCAGGTTGATCGTTACTTGATGAAGAATGGTCGCCACGTCATTTTGCTCGCCGAGGGACGTCTCTGCAATTTGGGATGCGCCACCGGACATCCATCATTCGTCATGTCGAACTCGTTCACAAACCAGGTACCGTATTCGTTGATTGAATCGTTTTTTAAAAGGTGTCTAAGGAAAGTACCGTATTCCGGTTGTTTTTTTGGAATAAGGCTTCACCGGCAGTTCCCCTGAAAGATAGCAGGGTTACGGGAACTTTTTTAAAAAGCACTATTGAGAATCGATTATCGTCATCAAGAGAATTCATTAACTGTTCAAAATCCCCAAGCTTCCAGGTTCTCGCCCAAATCGAGCTGTGGACGAAGCACGGAACCGCCGAACAGTACAAAGTTGGACTCTACGTTTTGCCAAAGACGCTCGACGAGGAGGTGATTGATTGAACTTGAAAAAGTGTTGGAGAAATACTACAGTATACCGTGAGTGAAGTATTGAGCCAATCAGACGGAATATCTTTGCTTTTATGACACAAGTAAGCCAAAAAGTTAAAGGTATTCAGCCTTGACTCTGAATATTTTGTTCTGTCGGTCAGAATATACAATATCTTTAAGTCTAATTTATCATTTTTAATATTGGTCTGAACGACAGTACCATTAAGCTAACTGAATACTTTAAGATAAGTAATTTTAAGCTTAAAGTCTATAATAGACAAGACTGAATAACTTTCAATGTAAATTAACTCTAGGGTAGCCAAATTACCAAAACATGAATAACTTTATTCAATGCTAATTTCCAGGTTGCTCGTCTCCATCTCGACAAGCTGGGTGTGAAGTTGACAAAGCTGACCGCCGATCAATCCGAATACCTTGGAGTGCCACCGAGCGGACCATACAAACCAGATCATTATCGTTATTAGACCGGATATTTTCAAAGCTAATTTCATTGTGATTTTGATACTCTTCAGTTATAATATTTCATCGTGATGTTGTTTCTTTTTGTTTCTCTCTGGCGATTAAATTTCATTCGTTAACGGTTTTTAGAGAAAAGGCACATCACAAGGAATAAATATATCTAAAAGCTAGTAAAAATCTCTAAAAGTCTGGGAACTATATTTGTTATCCAACAGACTAAAGGATTGAACTGGGAAAAATTTATAATGGCAGGCTTATTGTTTTCACTGCGCTTGGACCTGGCTCTTTAACTTTGTTTAGAAAAAAATATAACTATCAATTTAGTTTTAAAGAGGAGGCCTCAGGTTTTCAAATGGTACCAAATAGAGGCTGATTGGACTAACGAGTCCTGGCAGAATCAGGGACAAAGCGCTAGAGTCAGATCGCTGTTTGGGGTTAGTTACTATTCGATTAATGCAATGGCGGTAATGGAATCCGGAATTTGAAGCAAAAATGCAGCCAAATTCCAAGAAAAAGAAAACGATCCCGGGGATTTCGGCGGCGGCGTCAAAAGCGGTGAAGCCGGCTCGGTCGCTCAACGCTCTTTCAGCCTTGCCAGATCCCAAAAAGAAACACCTATCTATCGGGGACCTGTGCCGGATGGAGAGTGATTACGCGGCCGCACAAAGAACACTTTGGGCCCTTTTATACGGGGATTTCCTCTTTTGTCTTGTAGATGATACAAAAAGAAGATATTCAGCTGTAAATTTGTACCCGGGGGTCGGGCAATCGATTGGAACTATTCATTTTATTGAGTCTACCAATTGGAGCTCGGATTTAAACGACTTTTTCAAAATTTCCTAATGTTCACAAGCAAGTCTTGCACTCCTGCCCTATTCATTGCCCTTTCTACCGTACCCCACCCACTATGCTCTTTGTGCTCGTTTTCATGGTTGATGGCTCTCTCTCATTCCATGCAACCAACGAAGAAGGGAGATTCTGTTTGCTGAGGCACTGCCAACCCTTTATCGCCAATATTGACATCAATATTCTTTGAAATTCTTTGAAAGAAGCTCTGTTTACTTTACTCAAAGATTTGCATAGATCGAATCTTTTACGACTTGCAGCCTGCTTTTGGCGAGGCACTGCCAACCCTTTATCGCCAATATTGACACCAATGTTTTGTTGAAACCTATAACTGTGACTTATCTACTGAAATTCGCATATAAATCTAGTTTTTAAGCCTTTAATCCTTCAAACCTTTAACCCTTTCTTTAAGTCCTATCATTATCTTTATGATATTTCAATTGGTTTGGCTAAACGAAGGGCTAAACTTCAATGAAGGCTAAACGCCTTCTTTGAAGCTTACTTTCGCCTCGAAAATGTGAACACAATCTCTCTGGTGCGCTTAGTGTTGTATTTTTTTTTTGAAAACCTACAAAAAACGAAGAATTAAGTGCTCTAGAAAGGTTTTTGTTTACATGAGGACAAAATGAGCAAAACAAAGCCAGAAAGTCAAAGCCAATTTTCCAGAAATTCGCTCTGCCTTGTTGGCAGACTCGATCGGGGCATGTCTGTATCGGGGATCTTCATTTTGGACCTCAAAGGAAATGTAAGTTGTGGAAAGGGTATTGAAGATTTGATAGACGATCTGATTGGCTATCTAAAGCAAGAGAAAACCTAATCTGAAACGAATTCAATAGTAAGATAATGGAAAAATAACAGATTGGCAGGTTATTTCAAGACATTTCACCATTTTTAACTAGTAAACCACTAATAAAGGTTCTGTAAACCTGGACGATCAAGATAAAGTACTACAGTATTTAGGTATTAAATTACATCCTTGTTCATGGAACAAGAAAAATCCTTGTTTTTGTCCCGTTTTTCAAAAAAAACCTAATTTTGCCGGTAGCGGGACTCGAACCCACCATCCGACGGCCGTCTGGGTTTTGTAGACCGGTACACTACCCACTTGGTCACCGCTCCCCTCTGACCCTCGCCGTGTGGAGCGCTTTTATTGCCTAGGAGGGTCGAAAACGATCAAAAAAGGTAAAGTTTATTGTTGCCGGGACTTGAACCCACCGAGAAGAAACGTGAGTTTTGTAGACCGGCTCACGACCCACCAGGCCACCGACGCTCTGATTTCGCTCGCGTTTGGCCCGCTCTTATTGGCTAGGGGATCGAAAATGGTCAAAACTTCTAATGCATTTTTATCGCCAGGAATTTATTCGCCATTTGCATCGAATAGATATTTGGAATGCCCTAGAATTGAATAGTTATTCCGACTGGTGTTTCCACTTATTCTAAAACCTCAGCCCTAGTTTGGATGCCTTGTAAGCTAAACGTACAATGATTTTCGCTTCTCAGGTTGTCGTTTCCCGAAATTACCGAGGAGACGTCGAAATGGGATGCATTGATCGTTTCATGCCGTTGATGCTTGAAAAAGAAGACGAGGGGAAACCGTCGCCGGTGATCACCGATCGAGAAACCACGTACATCTACATCAAACATATGAACCTTTTTCGTGAGTTTCTAACTAGGTTTCAGCTTTTTCGAGTTTAACAAAGCAAGGCCCTGGATAGACGATCTGATTGGCTTTTTTTCTGACAAAGAAGTCTAATAGTAAGTAGGTTTGTACCAAGGACAATTTAGATCAGCTTTGGGCGACTTAGGCTTTGGGCGAAATAAGCCAGAATCCAGGGCTGTCCTGGCTGTCCTGTCCTACCTGGGCTGTCCTGGCTGTCCTGTCCTGCCCGGGCTGTCCTGTCCTACCTGGGCTGTCCTGTCCTACCTGGCATTAGCCGGTAATGAATTCTAGCCCAATCTGATCGACTTACAGTCCGATTGAACAATTGTTCCAGATAATTGTTTAGTTGAAAGCTGTTGTAGAGAAGAGTTACTCGAATAGTACAGCTTTTTTGGAAATCGGCTAACTTGTTTTAAAAACAACTTTTGGAAGGTAAAGCTAGAGCTAAGCTGAATCTAGGTTAAGCCTAGGTTAAGCCTAGGTTAAGCCTAGGGTAAGTCTAGGTTAAGCCTAGGGTAAGTCTAGGTTAAGCCTAGGGTAAGTCTAGGTTAAGCCTAGGTTAAGTCTAGGGTAAGTCTAGGTTAAGTCTAGGGTAAGTCTAGGTTAAGCCTAGGTTAAGTCTAGGGTAAGTCTAGGTTAAGTCTAGGTTAAGCCTAGGTTAAGCCTAGGTTAAGCCAAGTCCAGAAAATAGCCCTAAGCCACCAGAAGCCAAGCCTGATTCTGGTTAGACTTTGACCTGCTTGGCCTAATTACCAGCGCTCGAAAAAGTCACTTGGGGAGCTAACTGACAAGGGAATGTCAACGGGGTGTTGGCCAAATGACATGAACCATAGCCCATTCGACGCAGAATTTCACGCTGATTCCGAATCTGTTTTCCGTTTCTGTTATGGAGCACTCTGTCAAAAGTTATAAGCGCTATGAGATTATGAGCTCACTATCATTTGCCTTTTCTACTGGGGATTCCAGAAAACATTTGGGGCCTGAAAAGTTCGTCTGTCTGTTCGTCTGTCAGAAAAAAAATCAGGCAATGGCTTTTCGGGCTGGAAATTGATACCCGGGAGCTTTTGACTATGCTGATGCCGAATCTGAAGTCAGATTTGAGGCAAGTTAGGAAAACGGGTTTTGGCCAAACGGATTGTGGCATAGGGCTCGGCCCCAGTTGACCGACTTCGGTGTGTGCTATATTTTTGGATAGGACGATTTTTTCGTGCGGGCGCGCAGCGAACGCCCAGCGCAGCTTGTCAGCAATTCAGCATTTCTTTTAGTTCACTATCCGTTCAACTTTGAACGGCTAAATGACCTGATAAGTGAAAATTTGAGGCATTTTAGTTCAGTGAGTCAGCCTGGTGATGATTTGCATTTTGCCTGGTGACACAAAAGCGCCAAAACAAAATCCCTTTTATTTAGTTGTCGCGGTGAGCAAAAAGAATTGCAATGTGGTTCTCGTCTTATCGTTTTTGTACAAATGTGTCGACGTTTTCAAGGAATACTTCAAAGATCTGGAGGAAGAGTCAGTCAGGTAGGGGATTTGTTGATTTGGGAACGACAAACTGGGCACCAGCTTGAGAAAGTTTGTAGTTCGTAGCTTGTAGAAGTTTGTCAACACTGACAAATCTAGCTACAACTCTAGCTACAATCTAGCTACAAACTAGCTACAATCTAGCTACAATCTGGCTACAATCTAGCTACAATCTAGCTACAAGTCTAGCTACAAATCTAGCTACAATCTAGCTACAAACTAGCTACAATCTAGCCACAAATCTAGCTACAAGTCTAGCCACAAATCTAGCTACAAGTCTAGCTACAATCTGGCTACAATCTAGCTACAAATCTAGCTACAAGTCTAGCCACAAATCTAGCTACAAGTCTAGCTACAATCTAGCTACAAGTCTAGCTACAATCTAGCTACAAGTCTAGCTACAATCTGGCTACAATCTAGCTACAATCTAGTTACAAGTCTAGCTACAATCTAGCTACAAGTCTAGCTACAATCTGGCTACAATCTAGCTACAATCTAGCTACAATCTAGCTACAAGTCTAGCTACAAGTCTAGCTACAATCTAGCTACAATCTAGCTACAATCTAGCTACAATCTAGCTACAAGTCTAGCTACAATCTAGCTACAATCTAGCTACAAAACTCGATTTGATTCAGGCTTCAATTTTGATTCAGACAATGACTTTCTAGAGACAACTTTGTCATTATTTACGAGCTTTTCGACGAGATGATGGACTTTGGCTATCCACAAACGACCGAGGGAAAGATTCTACAAGAGTAAGTTTATAAAATCTCTTATCATTATCAATTTCTTATCATTGGGCAATTGATTAGCAAACTTAACTACCGTACAATCCAATTTAAACTTTAGATACATCACGCAAGAAGGTCAACGCTTGGAGGTGGCACCCCGTCCGCCAATGGCGGTGACAAATGCGGTGAGCTGGCGGAGTGAGGGAATTAAATATCGAAAGAATGAAGTGTTCTTGGATGTGATCGAGAGTGTCAATATGCTGGTGGGTTTAGAGGAATCTTAAAATCAAAGCCCAAGCATTGCAAATCGGTTTAGGCCAACTCAAATGGCACAGTGTTGCGGAGTGAGATCGTCGGCTCGATTCGTATGCGAGTGGTGCTTTCGGGAATGCCCGAGCTTCGACTTGGCCTCAATGATAAAGTCGCTTTCCAACCGTCTGGACAAGCCAGTGAGCTATTATAGTCTAAACCAAGCAGCTATTCTTGTCAATTTTAAAAAAAGGGGTTGTAAGGCCAGGCCAGGACAAGCCATGACAAGCCAGGCTAAGCCAGGACAAGCCAGGACAAACCAGGCCAGTCCAAGACAAGCCAGGACAAGCCAGGACAAGCCAGGACAAGCCAGGCCAGGCCAGGACAAACCAGGCCAGTCCAGGACAAGCCAAGCCAGGCTAGGCCAAGCCAGGTCAAGCCAGACCAGGCCAGGACAAGCCAGACCAGGCCAGGACAAGCCAGGACCCTCTTACTTTGAGCTTTGGCAAACGTGTGCTCTCTGTCCATTCGTTTTCTCAGATTTCTCACAAATTACCACTGTTTTGAAAGAGTTTAGTGCACTAGAAAGCGAGCGTTTACCAGACTAGTTTATCAAACAAAACTGAAAACTTGATTAACTTTTTAGGAAGTGGGAAAGGCGTCGAGTTGGAGGACATCAAGTTCCATCAATGCGTTCGCCTTTCGCGTTTTGACGCTGAGAGAACGATTTCCTTTATTCCCCCGGATGGTGAATTCGAGTTGATGAGCTACAGATTGACGACACAGGTTGAGAAATGAAAATGAGATTTGAAAAAAACGATAATATCCCGGCCAGAGTGTTCATCAACAATTCTCCTCACGTCTGATCTTTTCCATGTGCTCGTTTCCTTTTCTTTTTCCCGAGAACGCGACTTCTCGTTGCTCGCATTGAAGCGAAAATTTCTTTATTCAATTGAATTCTTCCGTTGTTCGCTTTTTCTCATTCCCATCAGCCATCAGCTTTCGAACGAGCTAGGATTGCGCTGAATGGAGTTGCTTGAAGATTGCGCTGAATGGAGTTGCTTGAAGATTGCGCTAAATGGAGTTGCTTGAAGATTGCGCTGAATGGAGTTGCTTGAAGATTGCGCTGAATGGAGTTGCTTGAAGATTGCGCTAAATGGAGTTGCTTGAAGATGGCGCCAAATTGCCATTTCCTAGAGCCTTCACTTTGTGCGAGTCTGATATCAAAATGTAGCCCTTCAATTGGGCTACATGATGGTATAAAAATCTTTTAGAAAAACTGTTTTTTAGTACAAGAAAAATGGGTGCAAAGCGAGAGCACCAACACTACACACCCATACAAAAGACGGCACGTCGTTGTTAGTATTGCGGCGTACAGTCGGTGCTCTCACTTTGCGCCCATTTTTCTTATACCAAACAACAGTTTTTTCAAAGGTTTTTTATACAATCTTGTAGCCCAATTGAAGGGCTACATTTTGATATCAGACTCGTCCAAAGTGAAGGCTCTGGTAAATGGCAATTCGAGCTTTGACGAGCTTCGAGGCTTTGACGAGCTTCGAGGCTTTGACGAGCTTCGAGGCTTTGACGAGCTTCGAGGCTTTGACGAGCTTCGAGGCTTTGACGAGCTTCGAGGCTTTGACGAGCTTCGAGGCTTTGACGAGCTTCGAGGCTTTGACGAGCTTCGAGGCTTTGACGAGCTTCGAGGCTTTGACGAGCACTGTTTCTTCATGGTTTCAAGAGCTATTACATGTCCAAATTCTTTGAGCTTAAGATCCTCTCCCAAATAAGATCCTCTCCCAAGAAAAACCGCACGAACTTTGTCATGCAAGCGAATATCTATTGTCTAGGTGAAACCATTGATCTGGGTGGAAGCCGCCGTGGAAAAGCACAAGAATTCTCGCGTTGAATACATGGTGAAAGCGAAATCACAATTCAAACGACAATCCATCGCGAATCACGTTGAGGTGAGCCACTGAAAAGCTCTAGAACAAAAGCTAATCTAAATTCGAAAAGAACGGAGTTGGATGGCTTTTGGCTTTTCTTTAAAGGTTACTTTTTGTCAGGTTAGCTGGAAAGTCTGGCTTTTTTAAAAGGTTTCTTTTTGAAATCAATAATGAACTAATCGATTTGTTTTATCAGAAAGTTCTATTATTTATTTACAAAGGCTTTGTTTTGGTTTTGTTTTGGTTTTGATTTTGTTTTGGCGTTTTTTTGTCTAGAAAATGAGTCCTAGAAACAGAGCTGATGCTGCTAGAATAAAAGAGAATTTCGGTTTGTAATTTCTGCTTTTTAGGTGATCATCCCGGTTCCCTCTGATGCGTATGGACAAAAATTCAAAACGAGCATCGGTTCGGTGAAATACGCGCCAGAGCTAAACGCTTTCGTGTGGACGATTCGAAGTTTTCCGGGTAAGGCAGCAAGAAAGTTGGTTTCATCGAGTACTATGAGATTATTTCTTATTCTAAAACATCCAATAAGTTTAAAGCATTTGATATTGGTCCATCTTTCTTTCTTCCTTTCCTTCTTTCTTCCTTTCTTACTGCCTTCCTTCTCTTCTTCCTTTCTTTCCTTTCCTTCCCTTATTTCCTTTTTGCTTCCCTTCTTGCTTCCTTCCTTCCGTCTTCCTCTCTTCCTTCCTTCCCTTCTTCCTTTCTTCCTTTCTGCCTCTGCTTTCTTCATTTCTTTCCTACTTTCTTTCTTCCTTTCTTCCTCCTTGTCTTTCCCTCCTTGCTTCCTTCCTTCCGTCTTCCTCTCTTCCTTCCTTCCATCCCTTCTTCCTTTCTGCCCGTGCTTTCTTCATTTCTTTCCTACTTTCTTGCTTCCTTTCTTCCTCCTTGCAAGTTAAAATACCAAATGACGCATTGGTTAGAGTAATTGGAAAGGAAAAAGTCGAGAGTTCAATCCCCTCTCCGGGAATCTTTCTTGCCAATCCCTTCACTTCTCAATTGTTACATAAGATGCTGTATGTTAGGTGAGCGAGCTATAAATGAATTGACGTTCATTCACTTTTCTTTTAAAAAGTGGTTGAGTACGGTAATCTTTCCAAGTTCTAAAAATTATTCTAATTCTAAAATACTTTTCTAAAACTACTAGATAAGCTAGAGTCGCATGGAGCACGTTTTCGAAAACAAATTCTATTTGATTACATCAACAGCAAGGAGAACTTGTTTTTAAATCCGGTTCGAAGCAAGCTTTTTGGTAAACTCATTGATTTAGTGGATTGATTTATTGGATTGATTTATTGGATTGATTTAAGGTGGACGTGAATATCTGATGCGAGCTCATTTCCTTTTACCTTTTACCTTAGATAGATTGTAGCCCTGGATCTTGGCTATATTTTGATACCAAAAACTTCTCGATTGGGCTTATACAACTATATTAACAAGCGCTTGAAAGAGCGCTAGTCAATCTCTCTTCAGATTCTGACTCACCCATTTTTGTGAAACTGGGAAATGTTTAATTTAATTCAAAAGTGGCAAGTATTATATAGAGCATTATAGCCCTAAATCTTGGCTATATTTTGATACCAAAAACTTCTCGATTGGGCTAATACAAGTCATTTAACAAGCGGTTGAATGAGCGCTAGTCGATCTCTCCTCGGACTCTGACTCGCCCATCTTTGTGAAACTGGGAAATGTTTCATTTATTTCAAAAGTGGCGTGTATTAGATATAGCATTGTAGCCCTGAATCTTGGCTATATTTTGATACCAAAAACTTCTCGATTGGACTTATACAACTCTATTAGCAAGCGCTTGAATGAGCGCTAGTCGATTTTTCGTTAGCGAATCTGTCATTTGACCGCTCCTCAGCTTAAATTTTGGCGCTAATTCAGCCAAAACAGTTAAATATGAATCTTAATGTTGTTAAATGATGCTAAACGCTATTTTTGCCCGCTATTTGACCGCTCCTCATTACATTTTATTACATCGACAGCAAGGAGAACTTGTTTCCCAAAACGTAAATCCGGTTCGAAGCAAGCTTTTTTGTAAACTCATTGATTTATTCGATTGATTTAGTGGATTGATTTATTGGATTGATTTATTGGATTGATTTAAGGTGGACGTGAATATCTGATGCGAGCACATTTCCTCTTGCCATCGATTTCAAGCGAGGACATTGAGGGGAATCCGCCGATTTCAGTCAAATTCGAGATTCCCTATTACACCACATCGGGTCTACAGGTAAAAGACGTTTGATAAACTCATAAAAGCAACAATATAGCTTTATAACCAGATCGATTGAGAACATGTAAGTGAATAGATATGTTTTTTTTCTTTATTATTTGTGATGTAGCATGTTTTTTTTCTTGAAAAACTAGTCAGAAAATCACAATGAGTGTACTTTGTGTCCTTTGTACTGTGCTATGTATACAGTGCTTTGTGTACAGTGTACTACAGTGCTTTGTGTACAGTGTGCTTTGTGCTTTCACTTTGCGCACCTTTTCTAGAGCTTACAAAGAGATCAAGAGATCAATTCTTCAACTATTTGATATCGCGATCTAGTGAAGGCCTCAGTGCGCTAGAAAAGATGCGTTCACGAAAGCTTTAGCACAAAGTACAAAGTACAAAGTACGTTAAACAAATTACCAGATCAGATTTCCATTCGCATCCAGCATGAGAGTAAAATTATGTTTTTCTTTTAAAGATTCTGTGATGCTAGATTTAGCGGATGAGCTATGTGTAGAATGATGTTGTTTAGCTAAACTTAAAGCTTTTGTATCTGTTGAATGAATAGCGTGTCAAAATCGACGAATTATAGCGAATTAAAGCGAACAAAGCAAAAATTAAAGCAAACTTTTTCGAAAACTAGCTGCGAAGTCGCTAATTTAATTCAAAAGTGGCAAGTATTATATACAGAATTGTAGCCCTAAATCTTGGCTATATTTTGATACCAAAAACTTCTCGATTGGACTTATATAACTCTATTAATAAGCGCTTGAAAGAGCGCTAGTCGATCTCCCCTCGGACCCTGACTCACCCATTTTTGTGAAACTGGGAAATGTCTAATTTAATTCAAAAGTGGCAAGTATTATATAGAGAATTGTAGCCCTAAATCTTGGCTATATTTTGATACCAAAAACTTCTCGATTGGACTTATACAACTCTATTAGCAAGCGCTTGAATGAGCGCTAGTCGATTTTTCGTTAGCGAATCTGTCACTTGACCGCTCCTCAGCTTAAATTTTGGCGCTAATTCAGCCAAAACAGTTAAATATGAATCTTAATGTTGTTAAATGATGTTAAACGCTATTTTTGCATTAAAGAAATATTGATAAAGCTTAACAATTTTTAATAGAAAAAGCTAACGACAGATTCGCTAACGAAAAATCGACTAGCGCTCATTCAAGCGCTTGCTAATAGAGTTGTATGAGTCCAATCAAGAAGTTTTTGATATAAAAATGTAGCCAAGATTCAGGGCTACAATGCTATATCTAATACACGCCACTTTTGAAATAAATGAAACATTTCCCAGTTTCACAAAGATGGGCGAGTCAGAGTCCGAGGAGAGATCGACTAGCGCTCATTCAACCGCTTGTTAAATGACTTGTATTAGCCCAATCGAGAAGTTTTTGGTATCAAAATATAGCCAAGATTTAGGGCTATAATGCTCTATATAATACTTGCCACTTTTGAATTAAATTAGCGACTTCGCAGCTAGTTTTCGAAAAAGTTAGCTTTAATTCGTACTTTCTCTTGTGATTTGCTAAACGCGCACTGTCTGGAGCACTGAATTGTTTTAAGTGTGCCAGATGCGTTTGGAAAAGCACCAATTACGAGTCAGATCTTGTTTGGCGTTTACTTGTCTAACTATGCGATGTAAGGCTTCAAAATAGCTACACTAGACTTGGCTAACGAGAATGAACGAGACAATAGGGTCGCTCAACTTCAAGCCCTTCATCTAGCCTCCAGAATATCGGATTTCAATCGACTTTTTTCTCATTTAAAAGCCAAGACTTTAAGCTATCTAATGATACTCATCAATATTATTTTTCTTTTAAAAAAGTCGGCCAAAAACCTTATCGAGATTTACCGAAACAATTCCTTTCCTCGTTTTTTCGAAAAGGCTTTTCATTGTCTTTTTTATAAGAAAAATCTAAATGATTGAGATCATTAGATAGCTTAAATTCTTGGCTTTTAAATAAAAAAAAAGCTCATTGAAATCCGATATTCTGGAGGCTAGATGAAGGGCTTGAAGTTGCGCGACACATTTGTCTCGTTCACTCTCGTTAGCCAAGTCGTTAGTCAAGTCGTTGCCCACCCTATAGTTATCAAAAGCTTTTAGGTACGATATCTTCGCATTATCGAACGATCCGGTTATCAAGCGTTACCTTGGGTTCGATATGTGACTCAGAATGGAGACTATGAGATTCGTTCACGTTGAGAATTGATTCCTATTTATTGGTGAGGAATTAGAAAGGAAACTAAATAGATAAAATGGTTAAATCTAGAATGATCGTTGAAAATCTCACGTTTTTAAGTCAAAGATTCTATTGTTAAAGAATTTATGGGTTAAAGAAGTAAGGCTCGTAAGCTAAGGCTCGTAAGCTAAGGCTCGTAAGCTAAGGCTCAAAGCTAACTGAGTTTGGGGAAAGAGTAATCCATTTACCGTATTCTCTAATAGTAGTGCACCGTGAGCGTCGCCTAAATTCCTCGAAATCTCGAGAACCGCTTATCCGAACCTATCGATTTGGCTAACTAATGTAGCTAACGATGAGATCTAGTGGGGGATTTGAGTGTTGAGCTTCTGCTCCGCTTCGAAAAGCTTCGAAACCGTAAAATCGTCACCAACTCTGCTCGGGGTGCACTACTGTTAGAGAGAATACGGTGAGAGCACTACTTCCTTAGGGTTCCTTAGAGATTTGGTTCCTTAGAGAGAAGGAACCAAATCTGTAGAGTAAAGGAACCAAATCTGTAGAGAAGTGGAACGTCAATTATTAGATTTTATGGAACTACGTAGAAAGTTAGGAAGTTAGCTTTATTAGGCTTTATTAGCTTTATTAGCTTTATTAGCTTTATTAGCTAGTTAGGAAGTTAGGAAGTTAGGAAGCTTTATGATGTCAAACTTTCAACTCGATCGTTTCAGCCGTTTTTTTCTAAAATCGCATAACAGCCAGGCACACACAGACATACGCTTTCTCTCTTATAATAAGTAAAAATTGATCTTATTCTTTTAAAACACAAATAACAGTACAAGCGTTTCTCTTTGGCAAGATCCAGACACCGCAAAACACAGTTGATACGATAACTTTGTAGTTTCGGTAACTTTGTAGCTTGATACGGTAACTTTGTAGCGTTTTAACAAGCACAAACAACAAAAGCAAAGCAAGTAAAGCAAGCAAAGCAAGTAAAGCAAGCAAAGCAAGCAAAGCAAGCAAAGCAAGCAAAGCAAGCAAAGCAAGCAAAGCAAGCAAAGCAAGCAAAGCAAGCAAAGCAAGCAAAGCAAGCAAAGCAAGCAAAGCAAGCAAAGCAAGCAAAGCAAGCAAAGCAAGCAACAACAACAAGGCTACTCATCAGTCCCGAGCCTTTTCCCTTAAACAAATCAATTTAGATCCATCGTGCGCTTCTCTTTTGCCCCTTGCTCTACCCTTGGCTTGTTGTCGATGTCAGAAAACAAGTCTAAGCTATTCTAATTCTAATCTATCTAATCTAATTCTTTAAATTAAACCCATTGTGATCAAATCATTAAAACTAGTGAAGAAATTTGAAAGCTAATCTATCTAATCATTGTGATATTGCATCCTGTTGTGAAAGTGATCGATTTCCAGTCTAATCACATTTGTTTTCTTGGGTTTTATAAGAAAAAGAACTATTCTATTCGACTTTTTATGGTATTTTATGGTATTTTATGATGATTTTCTTGGTTGTGATATTGAAAAATGGCCTTATCAAAGAATTTATCACTTTTTATAAGTCAAGGATTAATAAAATTATTGGGTTGCGGAGAATGAGTCGGCGCCAAACTTTAAAGGGACTTTTTGCACACATAAAGCCTTCTTTAAACATACGTTTGGTTTCATCAAAAGGATCCACTATTTCTCTACAAAATCACTTTTGAGAGATTCCACAAAGCTTTTCTTTCGTGGAGTTTATGAACTTCGAAACGCAGCTGGTTAAAATGGCAAAGAGTCCGACTCATCATTTGAACAGTTTCTTTCACATAAACCTTCTTTGGTGTTTATATAAAAAAGATAGAGCACATTCAATTACTATTAATCGCGGCCGGCTGACGATAAAAATTTTTTTACGGCAACCACCTGTTTTTTTATTTTAATATCGCTGATTTTATTATAAAAAGAATAAAAATCACCCGGCTAGAGTGATTTGATGGGTTTACAAATTTTTGGAGACACTGCAAGGCTTGGAGAAAAGCAAGATCGTCACTCATCAGACACCTCAGCTAAAAGGCACCTATTTGAGAAAACTAAAACCACAAGCGACCACAAATGGAAAAAAGATCTAATTGTGTCAAGCAAAGCGCTGAGGACGTCCTACGATGGAGGAGATCCAGTCACTTCTGGTGAAGATGCGCGGGAAATTGATAAGATAGGAGGCCGATTTGAGGAACTGCTGTACTCGAGCGAAGATGAAAGTGAGCAAGAGGAAGAATTATAGATTACCAAATCTATTTTTATTGTTTTTTGTGATTTTTATTTTGTTTTTAAATTTATCTGCAATTAAAACTCAATCGATCTAGACTGTGCTGAGGTGTCTGATGAGTGACGATCTTGTTTTTCTCCAAGCCAAGTTTCTCCAAGTTTTTCTGACGATCTTGTTTTTCTCCAAGTGTCTCCAAAAATTTGTAAACCCATCAAATCACTCTAGCCGGGTGATTTGTATTCTTTTTATAATAAAATCAGCGATATTAAAATAAAAAAACAGGTGGTTGCCGTAAAAAAATTTTTATCGTCACCCGGCCGCGATTAATACCCCCCCCCCCTCCCCCTTTAAGTTGCCAAATTTGCAGAAAGATCCCACCAATGGTTTTTTCTAGATCACAGTTTGTAGTTTTTGTGAAAAAATGGCTTTTTCTTGAGCGGAGGCGCTGTTTGAATTTTCTTTTAAATGTCATTTTGTAGAGAATTAGTTAACCATTCTACTAATATCAAACGTATATTATTTGACGAAGTCGAATTGAAGTTTTAGACATTTTTTTCATTTTCGGCGCCGACTCATTCTCCCCAACCCAATATTTAAAAAATTTAAAATGACGTAAAAAGGTGAAGTTTTGCATGTTCTATTAGAACTCTATGAGCTATTGGTTAGCTATTGGCTAGCTATTGGCTACGTTGGTTAGCTATTGGCTATTGGTACGATAATGCTTGAGGGTTGAGTGTTACGGAAACGACAAAGTCATGGCCTACAGCAATACTTGAAAGTTTTGGGTTACGGGAATAGGGCTGGGCGTTACGGAAACGACAAACTCATGGCCTACAGCAATACTTGAAGGTTTTGGCTTACGGGAATCGGGTTGGGTGTTACGGAAACGACCAAGTCACGGCCTACAGCAATAGTTGAAAGCTTTGGGTTACGGGAATAGGATTGGGCGTTACGGTAACGACAAAGTCACGGCCTGCAGCAATACTTGAAAGTTTTGGGTTACGGGAATAGGGTTGGGTGTTACGGTAACGACAAAGTCACGGCCTGCAGCAATACTTCAAAATTTTGGCTTACGGGAAGACAGTTTAATTCATTATACAGCTACAGTTACAGGAAAACATTTAAATTGGCTACAGCACTTTAGAAACTGATAACCTTTGTTTGATCTACTCCGAAACGCTTCTTTCAGCTTTATTGGCTCCATTGACTTCTTTTTACTTTAGTTTAGGGTTAAGGTAGCTTTGGACTACTGTAACTTGAGTATCATTGAGATTACCGTTGTTTGAGATCACTTTCGCTTGGGACCACTGCAGATTACGGTAGCTAGAGGATTGGGGTTACGATGGGATTACGGAATGTAGGGATTACGATAGCTTGGGATTACTGTAGGTTGGGATTACGACAGCTTGGGATTACTGTAGGTTGGGATTACGATAGCTTGGGATTACTGTAGCTTGGGATTACTGTAGGTTGGGATTACGACAGCTTGGGATTACTGTAGGTTGGGATTACTGTAGCTTGGGATTACGACAGCTTGGGATTACTGTAGGTTGGGATTACGATAGCTTGGGATTACGACAGCTTGGGATTACAACAGCTTGGGATTACGATAGCTTGGCCTCAATTTAATCTCCTTCTCAGGCAGACAGTTTCAAAATGATCACTATCACTATCAACTAGTCGTTTTTACAGTAGCCAGGCTGGGTTACAGTAACCAGGTTACAGCAATAGTGATCAATTTACAATAGACTACAGGCTACCGTACCCGCAAGTCATTAAAAGCACCAGAAAATTTCTAGAAACTTCGAGAATGTGGCCCCTTGATTTTCCGCATTGGTGAGAGCAAAGCCGTGATCAGCGGTGGTTATTGGGGCACATAGTATGCTCCAATAGATAATTTGAACATAGTATGAACATAGCATGCACCAGACAAAGATAAGCCAATAGGGATAAAAAGGAGAGTGTAACAAACGTCACCAAGTCAATGCAAATGCCTAGCCTCAATCCTAAACAAAGCTCAAACCAAAGCTCCTAGTCAAACATTTCACTAAGCAAGAGTTATTCACAAGGGAAGGGCGTAAAAGCTGCAGCGTAAACCGTAAAGCAATTCGCTTTTCTCATTTGCTCTCACTCTGTCGACAATTGTCTTTAAAGTAATCTTAAATCAATTCAAGATTGTTTTCTGTTCTCTTCCTTTCACCATGGTTTAATTACGCAAGTTTGAGAGAAGCTTTCAACTAAATTTCAACTAGATTTGATTGCCAAACAGATTATACAGAGTGACCAAGCATTACCGCAACACACAAAAGGCCTGCCTTTTAACCAAAGATGAAACCCATCTCGAAAAGTTAACTTAACCCATTCGAAACTTCTGCAGCGAATAATCGCTGCAGCAAAAACTCAGGAACGGACCGCTGCAGCGATTATTCGCTGCAGCGCTAATTGAGCTATTTTCATTCAATTAATTGGTTTTTTTTTTTTGCTGTTTTTCAGCATTGCATGTATATTCCAATTGTAGCAGATCTACAAATTACGTGGGCAAAGAAGATGTTTCATATTTACCCGAAATCAATGCAGTCTCTGGTTTTGCATTGAAATGTTCCATAATAGCTCTAATCTTATAAAGCCGATCTCCCGCAGGATCCAGTTCATTATCACAAAAACGCAGGTTTCGAAGAATAGATTCAAATTTTGCTCTTGACATAATGTGGGACATTTGGGAAAATCCTCCTAATCCAGGCCTGCTACTCCAGTAGTCACGATACAGAGCCAGCAAGAGCT